GGATTAACCAGCAGATTTGCCCCCGTGTGATAACGTCCATAGTGTTTTCTTGGCAAGTTCCTGCAGAGGGGGTTTGCCACTGTCATTCTCAGAGGCTGAGAGACTGTGACTTGCCCGGTGGGTTTTTATGCCCGAGCGGGGAATCGAACCCTGATGTCCAGAGTTGTAGTCCAACACACAAACCACTCTAGCATGCTGGCTCTGCAAAAAATGTACTTTTCAGAAAATGAAAATTGGGTTTTTTACTTCCATTTGCTGCCATGCTCTCAAATTTCTGACTAACAAGGACATACATTTCTTTGTTGTGCTTCCAGATATAACGGGGCTTTCCCAAAACTGTTACACAAGGCAGATTACACCAAACGTAAAACAAATGCAGATAAAAGCACATACAGTTGGCCCTCCATATCCACAGATTCAATCATCACAAGGCATGAAAATATATACTTTTTTTAAAAATCCAAAAAAGCAAACCTTGATATTGCCATTTTATATAAGGGACAGCATTTTACTACCCCACTGTATATAATGGGACTTGAGCATCCAAGGATTTTTTTGTCCACAATGGGTCCTAAAACCAAACTCCAGAGGATACCAAAGGCTCACTATACATGTTTCTTAAATGCGGCTAGAGTTACATGGTTTGGGAAAATAATCTTTTACTACAATAAGCAAAATCACAAATCAAACTATTAGAGCATCTCTGCAAAGTGTTTTACTTTCTCTGTTCTTGAAAATAATCATAAGGACTTAATTGCACAACTTTCTTTGATGATCAGTATAGAATTGGCACAATACTGGAAAAACAAGACTGCTTTTACCGATTGGCTGAAAATAATTGTGTATCTGGCTCTGATGGACAAAAAGACCAAGTTAGAAATGCATGAAATACACCAACAGTTTATATTTTATTACACTGTGGTTTCAGTTCTTAATTATATCAATAATTCTTTGGACTCTTGCTTGCTGCCAGTTATTCATATTGGCTTATATAATAATGTTCTAAAGATCATGTTTGGTTATGGAGTAAGGTTTGCTTTGACAGTGTGTCCTATGTAACCCAAGTTACTGTTTTTGGTTTTTTCTTCTTCTTCTTTTCATTCAAATCTTTCTTTTCTTTCCTTTTTAAAAAACCAATACCAATTTCACAACAAGGACATTCAAAGATGTAAGTAAAAACATTAACAAGTTATTGATGTAAGTAAAAACATTAACAAGTTATTCTTTGCTGCCTCGATTGGTTCCAGAGAGGTGGGGTATTAAATT